AAAGACAAAATCTTACCATGCAATACATTTACATTATTTACGAACGTTAGCGCAAAGTTATTTCAATAAACGTAAAGTTTTACATAAGTTTTAATTGAGAATATAAATGTTTCATTAATTAATCCTTTTAACAAATAATACGCATAGTTTTCAAACTCTTACTTTAATCGATGAAATAGCTAGCAAGATTGCAATTAATTCAAATTAGTTTTAATTAGAATGATAAGGGAGAGTGTACATCGCGCGATACATCTTCAAGGAATGTGCGAGTTATGATTAAAATTACTTTCTACAGCACGCGACTCTCTCGTGCGATAATCTCGTTTATACAAACAGAAACGTCTAACAATAAACAAAACCGTAATACTTTCAAGTGTTTTGAAACAGCAGAATAGTGCCTGGTATTTAACCAAACGTGAGGGCTGCCTTGCAGGAGTATTAACTTATGGAACAGAAATAACAGCTTTCTCTCCCTCGCTCCTCTCCCAGAGAAACTAAAATAAGCCACGAAATGCAAGGATTGTCTGCAACATATGTGGCCGAGTATACCTGACAGAGTGCTTTTCGCGTTGGGAATTTCTACGGGCGAATACATAATGCGAGACTATAGTGGAACACGTATATTTATTCGGCCGACATTAAATTGTTTATTCGGTATAAGCCTATACAAAAGAGAATAGATTTTTCGACTTTTATTCGATAAAGATGTTAGAACATATGTTTATGTTCTTGGTGAATTATTTTGTTTCTCATATGTGTTGGAATTGCGCGAATCACAAACTTTGTAATGACGTTGTGTCAGCGTAAAGATACTTCTTAAAGGAATGTACATACTTTAATTATACGAGAATGCAATAGTATTAAACAGTGTTGAACTTAAATAATATATAATTCGAAAAAGACCTTTCATTAGAATCTGTTAATTGTATCAAAGGAAAAATTGGATATACATAAATTATAAATGAAAAAACAATTAATAAAAAGTAAGTTAAATAAATAGATGAAAAACGATGAACGCGGAAAACATTTGTTTGCCATTTCACGGCATTAGATGTATGTACATACATGATTAAATAAAATAAATAAAACGGTAGATAAGCGAAGTGTAAAACTAATTTCTTATATTTTCATAAAATATAAATTGTGATTTTATTAAGCGAAACAATTCACAAGTGCAATGTTAAATCTCGCATCGTTTACAAGTGTGACGCCGCGCCGGTTAAATTTTAAATTTTGACACATTACACACGTATTCCATGTACAGACTCGGAAGGATGTCTACATAGAATCAGTAGGAATTAGCATAAACCATTGTCCTGCCGTGAGCTAGCCAGGAAGATGACATTTGAAAGCTCGTTACAATAACCCTTTATCCCTATCACAAGGGTAGTATTGTTATAATCGTAAATCGAAGGTAAAGCTATTATATTTCCATGACTCATGTAAATATGTATAGTATAATTTATGTCCTAACATAATTTAATTGGAAGTGTTCGTAATGTTCAAGTCACTATTAAAATATACTAAGGGAAGGCATTGCTTGAAAGCTCAAAACAGAATAGAGAAAATAAATAAAATGTAATTTCTGCGAATTTACACACACACGCGCGCGCGCATCAGAAACTAAAAAATTAAAGAGAAATATGTGCAAACGTGACAAACGTTGCGCAAACAATAAAAAGTTAATAACAGATATGTTTATGCTACAACATAGTACGATTACAACTGAAATTGTCATTAAAATAACATAATTCTGATTTGTTGGGAAATAAATAACAAACAGTTATAATAGAAGCTAACTAGAAGCGCTCAGATCAATTTGACAAATAAGTCAGCCAAGAAGACACACACATGTCGACCAATCCGCCTTTTATACCTCAAAGAACTCTCGAGACCATCTCCTGTTTCTCAACATGTGCGAACTGTGCATGTTGGAAGAAACGTAAACGTTTGCTGACAAGCAGAGATGAAAATTTTTCTAAAACGGAATTTATATGCGTCTAATGATCAAACTATGTGAAAAATTATGCATTCAAATTGTGACGAAAATTCCATGAGTCATTAGTTGTATATAGTATTATTGGCAAATATATATATATATATATATATATATATATATATATATATGTATGTATGTATGTATGTAAATGCGTAAATTATCAGAATTTGAAAATTATTCCCCATTACTAATAGAACTGATAACTCAATAAAAAATCATTTTTACTGTAACTTATTGTCGTTTATTTGTTCAAGTGTACTTGTATAGCAATTATGATATCAGTATCAGGTCTTGACAGTATTGTTGTCCTCGCGTGATCTTAATTTCCTACAAGAAACAAGGAAAAGATAGAGAAGTAAAAAAAAAAATGAATTATATCGATAAATTCTTCATTAATGCAAATAAACATTCTTTATATAACATAATTATTAATTACGCGTTATATTTTCAAGCAAGAGCGGCGTGATAGAAAGCAAGCAAAAACCACCTCAGCTTTTAATTAAAACTCCCTTTAAATGGTTTCGTAATTGGGTACTTCCGTACGCTTCATAAAAACGGGCTAAACGAAAATCGATTCTCAGCCTGAGAAAGAGAGAGAGAGAGAGAGGGAGAGAGATGATGAGCGGAGGGGGAAGGGAGAGAGAAGAAAATGAGAACATGGAGGGGATGAGTAGGGCTGGTAAGAGACGGGGTGGTCGACTGGCGAGAGAACAGGCTTAGAGAGAGAGAGAGAGAGAGAGAGAGAGAAAGAGAGAGAGAGAGAGAGAGAGAGAGAGGGACAATGGTGGAGACTCATTCATACTCCAACGCCCCCGCAAATTACGAGCACTAACTCTGGCACTCGTCGTCTACATTCAAAATGCGTCCAATGCCGTTTGATTAACAAATATATCGTTCTTCGCTCTTCTTTAAGAACATCGCCAGTGAAGCGTGTACAGCAACTTTGAGAAAAATCCCGAAAACTATATTTTCGCTCATTCTCTCTTAACTGTATAAACGGTATTAACAACAATAGCTACAGAAAATAGAGAATGATCGAGGAAAATATCGTGATCTGTCCGACTATTACGCTATCCCGTACATGAGCGAGCGAAAGTCGGATTATCCGAACTCGTTTATCATCGTTATCGGTAAATCGTATCTGCGATAGACGCTCATACATTAACGGTCTTTTGTTAATTAACGCATCTGCGGCGTCGTGCGAACAATGCGCGTCACACGGTAGTGGCTATTGAATTTCGGCGAATCGGGTAATCCGTTCTGCTCCGAATCCGTCCGTCCGATACATGCCAGGCCAGGCAATCACGCGTTCACGTTTTATTAATCGGCATACCATTTTGTTAATTACGTGGCATTATGCAGCGGCGAAGTGCCGAGCGGAATGCTGAGTGACGCAATTGGCCCGCCGAAAAGCATGTTCAACACCGCACCCGTGCAGGGACGATGTGTGATCCATTCGCCTAACACCACCTGTTATAACTCTTGAAATTATGAAATCCCAAACTGTATGCAATTCAATGTTTAAAGCTTGCCACGTGTTCAACCGAATACAGCTCACAGGGTAATATGACACAGCCATAATTTTGCTTGTTGACGGTGTAGCAACGAATTGTAATTAAAGCCACACACATTGCACGCGATCGCGACTGTACTCGTTTATTCGGACTGCAATGTCGATAGAAATTTTCATGTATGAAAAAGTTTATAAATAAAAAAATGTTATATATTCATGATATAAATTTAATAAGAAGATGAATAATTTTATAGAGAAACAAACGTATCGTCCAATATGTTCTCTCAACTATTCTCACTATTATGTTCTCAATTTTATTCTTTAAAACATTTCTAATTTCGTTAATAACTTATATTCTTTAAAAACATTATATATATCACGCATCTACGTACATGTAGATCAAAGAATAATTTTTAAGGACAATGTTTTATAAAGAAGTTAAAAAAAAGATTATTAGTATAACTGTGAAACTAAACTTTTTTATCAGAAATTTTCCTAATATTAAAATATTAAATTATACCCTATAAAATTTCTATAATATAAATATATATGCTAATAAATAATTAGTAAAATAATAAAATAATAAAATATATTTTCATAATTCAACAATTATACAGACAAATTTATAAACGGAGATCATAATATTTTTGTTATAATTTCTAAAAATATTTTTGACAACATAAAATTTTCGTAACCTTTCAATCAAAAAATCTCAATATTTCGCTGCGACAGTTTTTAAAAACGGAACACGTGTTCTACATGCTGTAAAAGGAGGGTGGGCGTCAAAGGAAATAGCCAGTGACCTCGAGAAATGTCCGTTATATTTAGGACACCCGATAGATGATAACTGTGCTCCAGGATGCAAGTTGATAGAAACTGTGCGCATGTGATTCATCTTTATTGAGTCATATTATTCATTCATATTTTCCTTTTAATTCATATATTCAAAGAATTATCCATAGAACGCATTGTATCATATAAAAGATACAGAATGCAGAGAAGAGAAAGTATCTATATAATTATTAAGGATGCAAATATACGTATACATATTAAAAAATGTTTTAAATTAATATTCAAAAAACATTGTACATATGCGAATATTTTTATTATTAATGTTATATTCATGTATATTCAAATTCATCAAATTCAATAACTTTAAACGCGGAGCTTTCTTTTAAACATTAAACTATTTTTAATTTTTAATAATTCCGTATAGCTCTCTGCAGACTGCGTCTTACATCTTCACTCGGAAATGGGGTCTCGCGTTCTTCGGTAGAAATATGTAGGAGAGACATTTATCTCAACTATCATTCTGTCTACTTTTGACAAAGCTGATTAAGCATATTTAGCAGTGTGAAGTGCTGAAATAATTGGGTCACTAGATAAGATTTTATATTTTTGTAACAGCAATCGCAGCGATTTCGCGGCACAGGATGACGATGAACGGAAGAAACGGATGAACAGCGTCGATTAAAAAAAATCAGTTGGCGCTGATACAAGTTACCAAACGATGACAGGACTTGCGTAGTGGTTACGTTAACTGTGATAATATTACTGAATATCCGGCTATGTGACATCGCATGCAATTTTGTGAACTAACTGCATGCTGTGAGACGTAAAAAACAACAAAATAAGAATGGCATATTCTTATATCGTAGAAGAAACGCCTCCCGACGACATTCTCAGCGTGAAGCACGATATCCAATGCGCGAAGATATTTCTTCAGAAACACAGCACAGAATCGGGTGACAGTTTGTACGTGTCTCATTGAATTTCCTACGATAATAAAAGCTGTAAAATTGTATTTTCCCGTTGTGATAATCATTATTAAACGTAATAATAAATATTAAAACTTGAAACTCTTTAAACTAGTTTGTATTATATATAAAGCAAGTTTTTCTTTATATTACTTCACCCAAAAAAAATATTCTATCCTTTAGCGGTACTCTCTTGATGCTAAAAGATTTTCCTTTTATATGTGGCTCAAGAAGATATTCTAAAATGTAGAGGAATATCAAATTACTATGAGAATTTTTTCTTGAATTATAGTGCGTGTGCCACTTCTTTATAGATAAATACGCTTTATAGCTGAGGAATAATAAGCATGTAAAATTTTTTGCTTAGAGGAAATGCTTAAAGAAATTTCCCGCTTATAAGTGGAACATTTTTTGGGGTGTTATTTTTGTAGGAAGTTAAATTTATTTTTTGTAAACATTAATGTTATTAATAAGAATGCACTCCAATATTCACTGTTAGTACTGAAAATCTCTATAGTATACATATTACATGTAATGTAAATTATAGATTTCTAATATTGGTAGTGACTATCGAATGTAGCCTAAAAGCCTATATAATATAAAATATTTTTCAAAAAATAAATTAAAAGTATATAATAAAACAAGCAAGTAAAAGTAAATATATGAAAGTAACGGCAAATTCATTACCGTTATTATTACGTAAAAGTGTAACGACGTTATCGTTACTATTGCAGATAAAAAAAAGGAATGAAAATAATAACAACGTGACCCTGTGTGATTATATTATAGTACCTAGAAACAATTGTATTACATTAATTCAGAAATATTTTTTATAACGTTACATAGTAATAAGTTTTTAAATGTTATAGAAGCTTCAAAATATAGAAATAGGTTAAATAAAGAAAAACTACTAAATCAATTATTATTAATTTACTTCTAACGATTATTTTTAGATATGATCATTTAATCGAGCTTTTGGCAAAAATATTGACCGAGCGGCCACGAAATATTGTCGATACTTTTGAGGAATACAGTAAAAAACTGAAGGATGAGAGATTTAAGATTAAAACGGATCATCGAGATTTGTACATATCACCCGTGCAATATGATAATGCCAAGAAATTCATTAAGCTCTTCCAGGTATGACGGTTTGACAAGTAATGACAGATAATGAAACTCCAAGTTTTCTTCAGATAAATAATATGGCAAATGGCGCAAACGAAACAAATTATATTTTTTGTTTTATCTTTAATCTTTCAATCTTCTGGCAATCACAATAGTGTGTAAAGCAGATTGACGAAGATGAGCAGGAAAGAATAGAGGATGAGGAGGAGAACGATAAAAAAAAGAAATGTCCCAATATGTTGGATCTTCTGTTCTATTTCGAGCAGACGGGTATAGGATTGCCGCGACACGACATAGTATTGCTTAATTTATCAATTCAGAAACTCGCCTCGACAATGCCGCTTGAAAATATTAGGTATATATATTTAACTTATACAGCTTATATTATATTTCAAACTATGTCATACCATTGTATGTATATTTTATTTAATAAATGTATTTTTTTTTATTAATTGGTGAATCTCAGATTTTGGGGTAAAGTACTTGGTAAACCTAAAAATTATTATATACTGGAAGCTGAACTTCGGGCAGACGAGCTTGCTCGAAGATTAGAGGTAAAAATATCATAGTATTATAAAACAATTAAATTCTGGCACAATTCTTGCTTTGCACAACGCAAAAGACATTGTATGCAGTTCAATCTATTCTTCAAGTAAACATGAAATTATATAAAATGTTTGGTATTATCAGTGACATTAAATCAGTGGAAAATTAATTATGCTATTATTTATATTCATTAATTCTCTCATTGTGTTTATCATATATCCTACCATATAAGCTTAAAAGTATAAATTAAAGAAAGTACTTGTAATTTCAATTAAAACCGCTATATGAATTATTTTTTAATAAATAAATACAGGATGCAATCATTGTGTACGTAGATCTTAGAATCTCTCTAAATCTTCTCTAAAAACGTCGTAATATTTTTTTTGAAAATAGCAAGAGGAACATGAAGTACAAATTAGAAAAGAAAAAGAGGAAATCGTAATCAAAACAACGAGACAACTCGCGAAGAATGAAACGGCGAGAAAAATTAAGGAGGAAGAAATGGAGGGAATTGTCGAAACAACGGGAAGTCCACGCAAAGACACAAAGTCAGAAGGAACTTTAGAGCTTATCTTTCCATCGTTACCTGTTAATCCGTGGAAACCATTGACGGAAATACCGATTGAAAGAATCGGGAGCGGCCTCAATAAAAAAGTGATTAACAAACTCTCGATTATCAAAATATCAAAGATTTTATGACTGCAGAATAAATTAATATTTTACCAGCATCACGACACAAATTTCTTTTGTAATCTCTCTTGCTACCTCACGGTAACCGTATTTAGGTGTATTTTGTATGCAACACGCCTGGATTGGATGAGTGGATCGAACTTCCGACGGTTACACCACAGCAGATAGTAATTGCACGACAGATTGTTCGATACTGCACGGGAAATTTGGAAACACCGGTACGTGACGCCCTTTAATGAAGAAGACTCCAGGTTAAAGCAATGTTATTTGTGAACACAGCCATGACGCATCTAACTATCTTAATCCAAATATACAGCTTCGTTGTCCACACTATCTAGTTACATGCATGACGATATTAGAGTTTCACGAGACGCGCGATATATGATAACAGTAAATGTGAAAAGGGTGGGAGAGTAAAAACGCGATTTACGATTTAAAAATTAATTAAAAAATGTACACTCTAAGCGACATAGCAGTAATTAAGCGGAGTAACAGTTTCTCGGCAATTAAACTAAAGGAAAACAAAGTTATTGAAACAACAAACAAATTTAAAATTATAATAAAATTACTTTGTTTATTAATCTGTGTTCCACTTGATCAGCTTATTCTTTCAATTTATTATATTATTTTCTCGTTTCGAGATAGATTTACAGTTTCCCACCGTTTCCTGGTACCGAAAAGAATTATCTTCGTGCACAAATTGCAAGGATCAGTGCAACCACTCATGTATCGCCGATTGGCTTCTTTACATTCAGTGGAGAAGACGAGGATGAAGAAACAGATGAAGAAAGAAAAGAGAGTAATATATATATATAACAAACTTTTAATTCTTATTATAAATTATTTTTTCACTAAACAACGAAGAACATTCAAGCAATAATTATTAGTTTGTTTGTATATATATTAATCCAGAATTGGAAAGTAATGCGTTATTCGTAATTACGTCGTCATTCATTTTTGTTACTTTTTTTCAGTAACGATCATTACTTTTTTCTATCTATAACGGTAATGGTAACGTCATTGCATTTTTGCAATAACAAATTTACCGTTACTTTTATCGTTACTTATTTATACTTTTATTTTCTTATTTTATAATATATTTTTAATTTACAATTTGTTGAAAAATATTTTGTACTCTATATCTCTTAGATTACATTCCGATAGTCAGTACCAATATTGAAAATCCAATAATTCACATTACATATGTATTATAGATTTTCACTACTAACAGTGAATATTAAAATGCACTTTTAATAATGACATTAATGTTTAAAAATAAATTTAATTTAACTTTCTATAAAAATAAGTAATGTAAAAAAAAACTTACTCTAGATAAAGATTAGTTTAGAGAACTTCAAGTTTTAATATTTATTATTGTATTTAATAATGATTAGCAAATAATATAATTTTAAAATCTAATTGAAGTTATTTTAGTCTTCCTATCTTAAAATTGCCGTGTTACCTGCGTTGAAGCCTCTTTTCCCCAATGTTTAAAAATTCATATCTTCCAGAAAAATAAAGATATAGACTTCTTTCTGGGCTCATCTTAAAGATGAATTATGTGGCTATTTTTTAAGAAATCGCGATTTTATTTAAAAATAACCGATTCAAAATGGCAGATTAATTTTTTTGAAAATTTATTATTTTCAAAAATTATTAAAATTTGTTTAATAAAATGGGTGGAGATGGTGGGTGGTGGTGGTGGGTGGTGATAAGTGGTGGTGGTGGGTGATGGTGAGTCAAGAAAAAATGTTTATTTTAAAAATCAAATGATATAAAAAATTTTCCAAAAAAATTTTGACTTTAAAAATCATATGATATAAAAAATGGTCGTGAAGAGTAGGTGTGGTGGGTAGTGGTAGTGGGTGGTGAAGGTGGGTGGTGGTGGTGGGTGGTGGTGGTGGGTGGTGGTGGTGGATGATGGTGGGTGGTGGTGGTGGGTGGTGTGGGTGATGGTGGTGGTGAGTGGTAGTGGTAGGTGGTGGTGGTGAGTGGTGGTAACGGGTAATGGGACAAAAAAAATTTTTATTTTAAAAATCACATGTTATAAAAAATTTTGAAAAAAAATTTTTACTTTAAAAATCACATAATATAAAAAATGGTGGTGGTGGGTAGTTGAGGTGGGTGGTGGTGGTGGGTGGTGGTGAGTGCTGGTGGTAAGTGGTGGTGATGGGTGATGGTAGGTGATAGTAAGTATATGAAAAATTTTTATTTTAAAAATTACATGATATAAAAATTTTTCAAAAAAAAAATTTTTATTTTAAAATTTATACATGATATAAAAAATTTTCAATGAAAATTTTTTACTTTAAAAATCACATAATATAAGAAATTTAAAAAAAAAATTTTATTTTAAAAATTACCTGATATAACAAATTTTCAATAAAAATTTTTTACTTTAAAAATCACATGATATAAAAAATGAAAAAAAAAATTTTTAATTTTAAAAATCTACTGATATAGAAAATTTTCAAGAAAAAATTTTTTACTTTAAAAATAACATGATATAAAAAAATGTAAAAAAAACAATTTTATTTAATAATCACATGATATAAAAAATGGTCGTGAAGAGTAGGTGTGGTGGATGGTGGTAGAGGGTGGTGGTGATGGGTAGTGGTGGTGGATGAAAGTAAATATAAAAAAAAGTTTTATTTTAAGAATTACATGATATAAAAATTTTTATTTCAAAATTCACATGATATAAAAAATTTTCAATAAAAACTTTTTACTTTAAAAATTACACGATATAAAAAATTAAAAAAAAAAATT